CCGCACAGGCTGAGAGATCTCAGACCCCACTGGACTCCCGGAGGGAAAGGACCAAAACCAAACTGCAAATTCTAGGTGGTAGCGAAGGGGGACTCGAATCAACGTCGCGTGTTCCGCATGCATGCTTCTCCCCTGGTCTTCCTCACTACCCTACGCTCTTATCGCAACTGCATTTGTTGTCTGAATGGGGGATCTGTGCAGTTAAGAACTTGCAAAGGGACTTTAGAGTTGGCTTTCTCTGGCTCTGTGTTCTCACCTTGAAAAAGACAACCATCCCTTTTGTGCAAAACAAATGTAAATATTTCCTTTAGAGGGGTGCAGTGCAATTCGGTTGTCACTGTCCTCTCCACAGTTGTTTTGTTTTCTAGAGACACTAGAGAGAGAGAGAGATAAAGACCCAAGTTCTGAATCTCACCTCCGGTCCAGAGCATGACATCTCTTATGTGCGTTTTCCCTGGGACGCAGTGTAGGTCAAAAGAATGCATGCACGCTTCTACATGAATCTTGTCTAAACATGTTGTGCAGGCCGTGATGCCATTTTCCTTGTAACAAGGATTTATTAGTGAATTCTCCCAAGTACTCCGTATATCTGTCTGTGGTTGTTTGAAATGAAAACGGGGACAGAGTGCAAAGACCCAAACTCATGCACATGCGCTTCTTCTCCCACCCCAACCCCTTCAAACCCCCATTCCCAACCTTCCACCGCTGTTGTAGGGGCGATTGCCAGAGCCTGGGCTCCTTCCACTCGCTTGCCTCACTCCCCCTTGCTCAGTTACTCTGCATGCGGGGTAGGCTCTCTATCATCAGCTCTGAAAACTTATTGTGGTTGGGGACGGGGGGCGTTTTTATTTTCCTGAACATTTGCTTGAAATATTTTGTTAGGGCTTCAAAGACAATACCTGTCTTTATTTTTTATATATTCTTGATAACTATGATATATTTATTAATAACCAGTGTTTCTGGATGAGATTTCAAATAAAAAAGAACCTTTAAATCCTGGCTTTGCCTTTGCCTAAAATTTTTGAAGATGGGGTAGTGGGTAGGGAACATGTGGACCCAGAAAGGCGTGTTTGGGTCTGGGTGAGAGATCTGGATGGGTGAGCAGAGGTGAAGTTGGCTCTAGTCATTTACAGGTAAAGAGGTCACATAAATTGGTGTTAATTATTACAACTAAATGTCCTCCTAATGTGGGCATTATCGATGTTGGTAGCCTTGTGATATTGGAGCTCCTTGTGTCTCTGCAATAATCAGACCCTCATAAACTCAGCAAATTGAGTTGTTGTTGTTGTTTTTTAAGTAACCTGGAAACCCAAAATGGCAGGAAATTAGAGGCAGAGTAGTCTGTGGTGGTTGTGTTGGCAACAGATGAGAATGAAGCAGTAAGTTAACTTCTTTTCCCTTTAAATGGCCCATGTGGCCTTAAAAAAAAAAAACAGGTTAAAATGCAGTATATGTTTTAAAAGTCAACAACGTGATTCTAGACAAGAATCAAACCCGGCCCCCTGCCTGCTGGGGCAGCAGCCCCTCAGAGAAAAGGGAAGGCTGCTCTGCTTTGTAAAGTGAGCAGGGTGAGGCCAAGGACCCGCCCAAGTTTCAGTATCTTGCAGATTTATAGGGGCAATTCTCCCTTCTTTCCTCCCTTAGAAGATGGCAGGTCTTTAGTTGAATACAAACTCTTTGCAAGTCTTATGGGGCGAGGAGTGGGGAATGAAGAGAAAAATCTACATTAATGATGGCTAAAACAGGGCTCATTTAAATAAATTACTTTACTCTCTTCATCCCTCCATCCCATAACAGTTCCAAATCGTGTATAGAAGCCAAAGTAATCCAGCAAGACGGCTTTGTCTGTTTACAGAGGGCGAGAAATCAAATTCAAGTGATGATAAACCCAGCAGCACATGTCTGTATTTCCCACTAATGAAAATCAAAACCTGATTAAAACGTGTCACCCCATATTTGCCTCTGGACTATAGGTAACATCACCTCCTTGTGGGTGAGGCCTAAACTCCTCTTCAAGAGGGGGAGTCCCGACCAGCATTCAGCATTGACAGCACATCCAAGAAGCACCTGTCTTTTCCTTCCTGGGCCCCGGCTGCCTGCCTGCCTGGTGCTGTCCCTCCCTGAGAGGGCATCTCTGTGGGTCCAAGCTCCATTTAATTCACTCTCCATATCTTTCTACCCCGGCCCTCCTCCCCACTTCCCCACTGTCAGGGAGGACAACCAAAGTGCGGGTCTACAGTGGAGGGTGCTCATTTCCTCTGGTTTTTGGCAGACAAATGGGAGAATAATCGTTTGTTTCCCAAGAGTGATTCATTTCTCCGGGTGAGCAAAGAGCTGCTGAGGATTTATTTGAAGCCAACACAAGGCAGCCCTCCAGCCTTTCCTGGGGAGTTTATTATTTAGAAAGGGGAGGGGACAGAGAAGTTCCATCAATCAGGAAAACGACTTTCCCCTGAGCCACTTGCTTCTTTGAGTCCAGCGTCCGAAGGCCTGGTTCTGGGAAGAAACAGACTGGAGGCCTGGCCTCTGGCTGAGCAATGGGCTGCACCCCCTCTCCAGAGCTGGAACTTAACCTGGGCACGGGAAGGAGTAAGACCACACTCCTTACCCACAGTGCTGGCTTTTGGGGTCCTGTTGCTGGGACAAGAATCTTTTGAGTTATCTCTGGAGGTCAATCTAAAGAGCTGTGGGTTCCACTCCCATGGGCCACTGCGCTAAAAAGAGCCCGAAGCCCAGAGCACTCTCCCTGGGTTGTCCAGAAGCAGAAAAGTACTAGTAGGCCTTGCTTCCAACTTTGAGGAGGTCTCCCAAACAGGCTGAGCCCTATTCTGGGTCACAAAACTCCCCCCCAACCCTTCCCCCCTGCCCCCAGAATCGGAGAAAGGATTGGAACAGGGCAGGAACTCAAGAAGGAAGGCGATTGGGGAGCCACGTCCTTGGGAGTTTATTGATTTATTGGGTAGGAACAGTCACCACTCGAATTCCCAGAAAGGGCCTTACAGGGGTGGGAGCTGGTAAGCTGGGCATGTGACTTTGCAGGCAACTCTTGCTTGCATGTCCCGTTGAATTCTCCATGACTGATGCCAGAAACAAAATTACATGGCCTCTAACGTAAGAATGGTTTTTCAGGCAGTGTGTGTGTGTGTGTGTGTGTGTTGTAAATTTGCCACTGTCTCCAAAGTTCTGAAGTTTCAAGTTTTTAATTCCCCCTAGAAACACGACAACGATCCCTTCATTCCAAAAACAAACGTTGCTTTATAGTTTAAAGGAAGGCGAAAGCTTCCTGGGCCTAGATATCTTGAGAAGCCTAGGTCGAAACGCCCCTGTGGTTTAAGTGGCGGGACTTGAAGGGCGGGAGAAGAGTCGCACTTAGAAGGGGCAGGCCGCTAGCCCTGGGTTTCTAGCGAGCCTCTCCTGCGCCCCGGGCTGGTGTGGGTTTGGGTTTATATCCTGAAAAGGGGTGGCCTGAGCAGCCCACGAATCCGAGGTCTTGCGTCTCCTCAAACTTTGTTTTCTAGCTGCTGGGTCAGCAAGGTTTTGTCGCCTCCACTAATACACGTATCGGGGATTGCAAAAGCCCTTCCCTCCCCTCGGGGAGGCGGCGGGCTCTCCCAGCACCTCTCTCAGCTAACGAGATTGAATTGCGCTTCCGAGGTCCCTTCTGGAGGCTCCAGGCCCCGCTCGCCCCCTCCCACGCCCGCCTTCAGGGTGCGCTCCCAGCCCTCCCACCGCCGCGCGCTCCCGCCGCTCTGCCGCCCTGGGGGCTCCAGGGACAGGCCTGGGGCGGGGGACAGGCCTCCGGGGTGGGCGTGGATCAGCCCCGAACGCGTTGGAGATGCCCCACGGGAGCTCGGCCTCAATCCTCGAGGCTCTTCTGAAATGGACGGGGCCAGAGGGTTCAGTCCCTGGTTCGCAGGATCCTCCCCGGGGCACCTCTCCACGGCCGCCGCTCCGGGCCGAGCGGGAGAAGGGGAGCTGTGCAGAGAGGACGTTGGGCCGGCGCTCCCACCTCGGCGGCTGGGGATTTAGCCTCGCGGGGTAACTAATTCTGACTTGTAGTTTGGTGCATATTGAACTGTAGGCTGGAAATTTTTTTTAAAACCTCCCAGTGCATTATTCAGGTTGAAGAGCGAGCGCCGGCAGTGACTTTGGAAAGAAACCGGCCAAGGGAGGAGCCCTGGTGGCACGGGCGCACCTGCGTCTTCCCTGTGTCTCTTCAAACTTGGGGGAGGATGAGTGCTCTCCCTCCGCACCCCTGCCAAGTCTCTGAGCCTCTTGTATATCTATCTCTCTTCTGAGTAGCGGGGAAGAGGCAAACCCCGAAGGTTTGGGGCTGCAGAGTCTCGATTTTTAGTTTTGCCCGTTTTCAATGACGTCCCTCCTTGGGACACTGCGGTGGCTGGGCTGCGAGGGGGCTGGAGAGTGTGGGGTGCGGGGATCCACCAGGGCAGAGAACAGGAGACCCGCCGGAATCCGCTCGCCGAGGCCTCCAGAACCTCGGACCGGATCCCTCCCGAGCCGCTGGTTTGGCTGGGTGTGTGGCCTCCCTCTGTCCTCTTGTGTCCCGCAAAGGGAGCGGGTAGCCGGCCCTGGTCGGTATCCACGGGGCGGGAACTGGCCCGCACTTGCCTCTGCCTCCGGGACCGAACGCAGAGCGGGGCTGAGACTCCAGCTTCGTGCCGAGCTGGGGTCCCGTGGTCGGGGCTGCATCCCGTGG